GTTTTATCTTAGGGGCAATCAACAGGTACCTAATTGAATTAAAAGCCCACTAAATTGGAGGAAACCCATGTGTCTTTCTGTAAATATAGCCAAACACACATAGCTGGAGAGTTCATAAATCTAAGAGCAGACCCCAGGACTATAACATCCCTAGACTAATGTGGTTTCTTACTATGTACAAAATATATATCCTTCTGTTTACAGACAAGTGCCCCATCTGCCAATCATTTTGGAAGCTTCTTTCAGACCAGACAGAGTCTATTGCAGAGTACCACAACTGGTCACACATAGACACCATCTGTGAATTGCCCAATGCTAAATGGCACATCTACATTGCAACCTCTATACCTAAGGCTCAGGGAAAATAGAAAAAAGGGTAAAAAGTACACCAATGAATATCTCAGTTCTTATTAATGAATCTCCCTTATGTGACAGAGGCCCAGGAACCCAAAAGCCACACATGACCAAAGTGTAGAGATTGAGTCTGCAGAATGCTGGTCTTCGGACAGGACTCCTATATTAAATTTCACCCACCAAGGGTTCAAGGACCATGGTTTAGCCTTCAGGTTACGTGTACCTGTAGAAAGTCTCCATGTGGCCACCATATGAATACATTATTAGAATTTTGGGTCTCCCTTCACAGTTGCCACAATGAGACAGGGGAGAAAGAACATCCCCAAGCGGGTTCTTAGACTCAATTGGATGCTTTAGGACAATTTTATTCGAATTTAAAGAAAAGTGCTCAGGGCAGGCAAGCTTCAAATTTTAGAAGAGGCCTTGATTTGGAGAATGGAGGGGAAAGGCAGGGGGGAAAGCCATGGAGCCACTCAAGTTTAGAGCCTGCATGGAGAACAGACACGTGGTGGACTAGAAGCCACATGGTTTGGAGAAGGAAGAGTTACAGAAAGTGTAAAGACATACTAGGTGTTGGGAACAGAACCTTTGATGGCTGGGCCAGCTCTCCAGCCCCCAGGGTCATAAGTTCTCCATGGACTTCATTACTGATGTCCCATTTGGATTCTTGTTTGGGGAATTTAACCTCTGGTGTGCCAAGATCCCCCTGACCTGATGCATGTTTTCCCAAATAATCAGTTTGGTCCTCCTGATCATCATCTGCCCTTCTTCCAAGAAGAGAATTCCTGTGTCAACCAGAGGAGTAAATGTCCCCACATCTGAGGAATCTATTTTTTTCTTCCTTTCCTTTTTCCTTCTTTTTAATTGTTTAATAAAAATTTGTTTTTATTTATTTATTTGCTATTTTTATTTGGTGCATATGAGTATATTGTCTGCATGTGTGTAAGTGCACCTGTGTTGTGAAGAGCCCATGGAGGTCAAAAAAGGGCATCAGATCCCTAGGAAGTGAAGTTGCGGACAGTTGTTACCCATCATGTCGGTGCTGGGAATTGAACCCTAGCCTTCTATAAGAGCAGTCAGTGCTCTCAAGCACTGAGCCATCTCTCCCAATTTTTTAAAAATTTAATTTCTAATCTCAAAAATTGGAAGATAAGGTTAGTTTGTACCAAGAGTTCACTTGGGTATTTTTTAAAATATTTTGCTGGGTTTTAAAAAAATTTTACGTGTGCGTGTATAGTGCCTACATGTATGCAAGTGCGCCCATGTCATGCAATGCCCATAGAGCCACAGAGGT